GGGAGGAGGAGGAGGAGAGAGGGGAGAGGAGGAGGAGGAGGAGGGAGAGGAGGAGGAGGGGGAGAGGAGGAGGGGAGAGGAGGAGGGGGAGGAGCGGGGAGAGGGGAGGTTAGAGAGGAAAGAGGAAGAGGGGAGAGGAGAGAGGAGGTGAGAGGAGACAGGAGAGGGGAGGAGGGGAGAGGGGAGAAAGGAGAGAGGAGGAGGGGGGAGGAGAGAGGAGAGGAAATTAGTAAAATATCCAAAAAAGTTCATAAAACTGAAAAAACTAAAACTGATTGATGAACGTTACAGGATCTATCAGTTATTGATCAGTGAACTGATTGATGAACGTTACAGGATCTATCAGTTATTGATCAGTGAACTGATTGATGAACGTTACAGGATCTATCAGTTATTGATCAGCATTATCAGCTGCTTACACTTCAGCCTGGACGTAGAAGTTACAGCCCAGATCCACATCTGTCTTCATCTGTCCACAGCCCGACTCCTCACACACACACACACACACACACACACACACACACACAGCAGTCCGTCACATTATCAACCTGTGAGTGTGAGTGTGTGTGTGTGTGTGTGTGTGTGTGTGTGTGTGTGTGTTTGTGTGTGTTGTGTGTGTGTGTGTGTGTGTGTGTGTGTGTGTGTGTGTGTGTGTGAGTGTGAGTGTGTGTGTGTGTGTGTGTGTGTGTGAGTGTGTGTGTGTGTGTGTGTGTGTGTGTGTGTGTGTGTGTGTGTGTGTGTGTGTGTGTGTGTGTGTGTGTGTGTGTGTGTGTGTGTGAGTGTGTGTGTGTGTGTGTGTGTGAGTGTGTGTGTGTGTGTGTGTGTGTGTGTGTGTGTGTGTGTGAGTGTGTGTGTGTGTGTGTGTGTGTGTGTGTGTGTGTGTGAGTGTGAGTGTGTGTGTGTGTGTGTGTGTGTGTGTGTGTGTGTGTGTGTGTGTGTGTGTGTGTGTGTGTGTGTGTGTGTGTGTGTGTGTGTGTGTGAGTGTGAGTGTGTGTGTGTGTATCAGTGTGTGTGTCTGTGTATCAGTGTGTGTGTCTGTGTATCAGTGTGTGTGTGTGTCTCTGTGTGTGTGTGTGTCTCTGTGTGTGTCTCTGTGTGTTACAGTGTGTGTGTGTCTGTGTGTGATTGTGTGTGTGTGTGTGTCTCTGTGTGTCTCTGTGTGTATCAGTGTGTGTCTCTGTGTGTTACTGTGTGTGTGTGTATCAGTGTGTGTGTGTGTTAGTGTGTGTCTCTGTCTCTCTGTGTGTGTGTGTATCAGTGTGTGTCTCAGTGTGTGTGTTAGTGTGTGTTACTGTGTGTGTCTCTGTGTCTCTGTGTGTCTCTCTGTGTGTGTGTCTACCTGCAGACTCTGTAAGGTGTTCTTCAGCTGCAGGTACTGAGAGATCTTCTCATAAACAGAGTCTCTGTGCTCCAACACCTTCCTGATAAACACACAGTCAATATGGATATTGATTATTGATCAGTACACACTGTATCTTTATGGATTATTGATCAGTACACACTGTATCTTTATGGATCATTGATCAGGCTGCAGTGTGCCGGGCTCTACAGTGTATCAATAGAATAAAGTCTTACTGTAAATCTCTCCTCAGAACTTCGTTGATGAAGTTTTCGTACTGAACAACCTTCTCGTCCACGTTAGCATTAGCATTGCTATTAGCATCAGCGGGCGGAGACATCTTCTCGGTTTCCTCTTTATATCCGGTTAAACTCGCGCGGGAACCGCCGGTTGTCACGCTGACGTTAACGTTACCGGTTCTGTCGATACCGAGCCGCACACCGTCCGTCGGTTCGCATGCTAACGCCGTTTTATAGCTATACTATCAATGCTAACTCCTCACGTAAACACGGAACTGCACCGGATGTGGATCCACTCCGGACAAATACTTCCTGGTTTCACAATAAAAGCATGAAGCGTTAGAGAATCAGAGGAAATAGAAAAACAAGAACAAACGAAAGGATGTTGGAAGAACTACTTTCACATGTTTTATGTAAATAAAAGTAACAATAACACACAAAAATACTCTGTTACAAGTAAAAGTACAAAGGTAAGATAAAGTTTCTCATTATGATGACCACAATAAAAAGAATCTATTATCTATTTAATCTTATGATTCAGTTGTATTTCTCTGCATTGGGGCTTTGTTTTCAACTAAATGTTCTTTATGTCACATTAAATTCACTGTTATAAACCTGTTGCATTGATGTACAGTAGGGCAGTCTTTGTAAGTCTCTTTCTGTAGCTATAATAAAACACAGTCAGTTATTTACAATACAATAAGAGTCAGTTATTTACAATACAATAACAGTCAGTTATTTACAATACAATACAATAACAGTCAGTTATTTACAATATAATAACAGTCAGTTATTTACAATACAATACAATAACAGTCAGTTATTTACAATACAATACAATAACAGTCAGTTATTTACAATACAATAAAATTATTACAATACAATAACAGTCAGTTATTTACAATATAATAACAGTCAGTTATTTACAATATAATAACAGTCAGTTATTTACAATACAATAACAGTCAGTTATTTACAATACAATATAATAACAGTCAGTTATTTACAATATAATAACAGTCAGTTATTTACAATACAATAACAGTCAGTTATTTACAATACAATAACAGTCAGTTATTTACAATACAATAACAGTCAGTTATTTACAATACAATATAATAACAGTCAGTTATTTACAATATAATAACAGTCAGTTATTTACAATACAATATAATAACAGTCAGTTATTTACAATACAATACAATAACAGTCAGTTATTTACAATATAATAACAGTCAGTTATTTACAATATAATAACAGTCAGTTATTTACAATACAATAACAGTCAGTTATTTACATTACAATAACAGTCAGTTATTTACAATATAATAATAAAATAACAGTCAGTTATTTACATTACAATAACAGTCAGTTATTTACAATATAATAACAGTCAGTTATTTACAATACAATAACAGTCAGTTATTTACAATATAATAACAGTCAGTTATTTACAATATAATAACAGTCAGTTATTTACAATACAATAACAGTCAGTTATTTACAATATAATAACAGTCAGTTATTTACAATACAATAACAGTCAGTTATTTACAATATAATAACAGTCAGTTATTTACAATACAATAACAGTCAGTTATTTACAATACAATAACAGTCAGTTATTTACAATATAATAACAGTCAGTTATTTACAATATAATAACAGTCAGTTATTTACAATATAATAACAGTCAGTTATTTACAATATAATAACAGTCAGTTATTTACAATACAATAACAGTCAGTTATTTACAATACAATAACAGTCAGTTATTTACAATACAATAACAGTCAGTTATATATGTTATATTTCCTCAGTGATTCACGGTCCGGGGCAGCAGGTGGCGGTAATGCTCCAGTGGGCTGGACACCAACCGCCGTAACACACGAAGAAGAACACTACTCTGGTGACGTCATTATAAACAAACATGGCGGACCGCTGGTGGCTAACGTAGCTAGCACGTTTAACACAAAACTTTATTTTAATCCGTCCTGCGCGGGAAGGATTATATAATTATAATATTCAATAAATACGCAGCTATTCGTTCGTCTCTTCGCTTTGTGTTGGGCACAGTTAACAGTTTATAGACGCACTTATTGATTATTAATGTGACGTTTCTTCGGAGCTAGCTTCGCTTGTAGGTTACCATGGCAACATTAGCCAACAGTTAGCTAGCCGTTAGGTCAGGTGACTGCTGGTCACCTGGGATTGATCCGTTTCTACTCTTCATCACCTGATCCGTTTCTACTCTTCATCACCTGATCCGTTTCTACTCTTCATCACCAGTACCCGGTGTGCCTGTGAGGACATGGAGCAGTACAGCATTCTGGGTCGGATCGGAGAAGGAGCTCATGGCATCGTCTTCAAGGCCAAACACATCGAGGTATCGGTTCTGACAGTGACTCAGCTTTCTGTAAGGTTGGTTCTGACAGTGACTCAGCTCTCTGTGAGGTTGGTTCTGACAGTGACTCAGCTCTCTGTGAGGTTGGTTCTGACAGTGACTCAGCTCTCTGTAAGGTTGGTTCTGACAGTGACTCAGCTTTCTGTGAGGTTGGTTCTGACAGTGACTCAGCTCTCTGTGAGGTTGGTTCTGACAGTGACTCAGCTCTCTTGCTAAGGTTGGAACCGTGAACCGGTCGACTCAGCTCTCTGCTCCCACCGTGGAACCGGTCCCCCTCTCTCTGCTCCCACCGTGGAACCGTGGAACCGGTCCACCCTCTCTCTGCTCCCACCGTGGAACCGTGGAACCGGTCCGCCCTCTCTCTGCTCCCACCGTGGAACCGGTCCGCCCTCTCTCTGCTCCCACTGTGGAACCGTGGAACCGGACCGCCCTCTCTGCTCCCACCGTGGAACCGGCCGCCCTCTCTCTGCTCCCACCGTGGAACCGTGGAACCGGTCCGCCCTCTCTCTGCTCCCACTGTGGAACCGTGGAACCGGTCCACCCTCTCTCTGCTCCCACCGTGGAACCGTGGAACCGGTCCGCCCTCTCTCTGCTCCCACCGTGGAACCGGTCCGCCCTCTTTCTGCTCCCACCGTGGAACCGTGGAACCGGTCCGCCCTCTCTCTGCTCCCAATGTGGAACCGTGGAACCGGTCCACCCTCTCTCTGCTCCCACTGTGGAACCGTGGAACCGGTCCACCCTCTCTGCTCCCACCGTGGAACCGTGGAACCGTCCGCCCTCTCTCTGCTCCCACTGTGGAACCGGTCCGCCCTCTCTCGCTCCCACCGTGGAACCGGCCTCTTCTCTCCCACCGTGGAACCGTGGAACCGGTCCGCCCTCTCTCTGCTCCCACCGTGGAACCGGTCCGCCCTCTCTCTGCTCCCACTGTGGAACCGTGGAACCGGTCCGCCCTCTCTCTGCTCCCACCGTGGAACCGGACCGCCCTCTCCCACCGTGGAACCGGACCGCCCTCTCTGCT